GTGGTGTGTGTGTGTGTGTGTGTGTGTGTGTGTGTGTTGTGTGTGTGTGGTGTGTGTGTGTGTGTGGTGTGTGTGTGTGTGTGTGTGTGGTGCTGTGTGTGTGTGTGTGTGCTGTGTGGTGTGTGTGTGTGTGTGTGTGTTGTGTGTGGGTGTGTGTGTGTGTGTGTGTGTGTGTGTGTGTGTGTGGTGTGTGTGTGTGTGTGTGTGTGTGTGTGTGTGTGGTGTGTGTGTGTGTGTGTGTGTGTGGTGTGTGTGTTGTGTGTGTGTCATATTCAAGTACTTGTGATGTGTAATTTAGAATTTTGAGTAACTAACATACAACTGGTCATTTCCTTTGAAAGAATTGAGACCATTATATGTTCGGAGCGGGACGAGAGTGCTCTCTGGGGTTTCTCAAACAGTATTTCTAATTTACCCTAAACATATGGTAGTGAAATTAACATTACAATACTGACATCATTTCTCGTTCATTTCAAATAGAAATATTATAATTTTGAGAATTTATCTGCAAAAAATCAGAACTGATGAAAATAACAACTGCAGGGTTTTTATGAATCAAATGATGCAAAGAAGAAAAGTACATTTTATAAACATCACAGTACAAATGTTCAAAAATACTTTAGGCATTAATATTGGTGAAAAAACCTGGTTTTACTATCACAGATTTGACCTTTTAGACATTTAGAGAACATTTTATTTTACACACATGGCTATAAATAGTAAAATGATAGTATTTCTTTCAGTGGTCTGAAAAATGTTTCCACACTCTGTCACAGTGGAGGTGCCAGGTTAGAGCTCTGTCCTAACTGTACGATGTATAATCTACATAATATTCCAGACTTTTACTTAAATCACACGTGGCTGAACTTTTTTTGTTGTGTATTCAGGTCTGACTTGTATCCAGAAGAGAGGAGGAGGAGAGGCAGGGGGCGAGGAGTGTATCTGTATCCTCCAGCTGACGGAGGCGGGGGATATTTTCTACCAGATCCTGGAGCACGAGCAGTCGCACACCCCTCCACCAGCTCTGGAGAAAAACACAATTTCAGAGATAAATCCAGCCCAACAACCACCACAGTCGTTGAGGCTCATATCGGAAGCATCGAGCGACGAAGACATAATCGGCCCGACTCAGACGCAGAGCTTTGTGGCTGAAACACAGGAGGAGGAACGGCCAGAACTGGACATGTACGCTTCCTCTAACGAGTCCTGGTCCCCAAGAAAGTCCCGCCGCATAAAGAATTTGCAGCTGCAGGTCATCGTCAATGACTATGACAATGATGAAACCGTGAGTGGACTGGACACAGGTTTGAATGAGGAAACCGTGAGTGAAGAAAAAGCTGATATTCCAGAGGAACCCAGCCGTGTGGAGGAAACAACAAGCGGCAGCCAGAAGCTCAGCGACGGTGTTCTGGTCACATGGAAACAGTGGCTGCAGAAATTGATGCAAAAGAGTCACAAGAATAAGCCCCGCCCACAGCTCAGGCAGCCCTTCAAAATCACAACTAAAGAACTCATCTACCTGTCGTCTGACGATGAAGCGAGAGGAGAGGATTCAGCGGAGAAGGAGCGCGTGGAGAACGTGAGGCGGGACCTCAGAGCGTGCATGACCAACCGCTCGCTGCTCGTTCACAGCGCCGTCTCCGCCTCTCTCGGAGACCAGGAGGTGGTGGAGGTGCCCGACGCGGTGAATACTGACGACTGGGGGGATCCGACGAGCGAGCGCTTCACTGTCTCCTGGCAGGGGGAGGGGGCCTGGCAGGCGTGGTGGGTGGAGAACCTGGGGCTGAACAGGGAGAAGAAGGTGGAGGCTCTGAGGAGGAAGAGGAGGAGGAGAGAAGGAGGTGAGGAGAGCGTCCAGTCAGCGCTCGGTGCTGTCCAGCAGCTTCTGCTCGTCTCTGAGCTACCAGTCGGACCTGAGCGACTTCTCAGATCTGTCCGGATGGTCCTCGTCCGCCAGTTTGGGGGCGTGGTCCGACAGCGAGGGGGGGCTGTCCCAGTCGGAGGGGTCTGTAGGGAGCGGGATCCCACGAGCTGCAACACCCTCCTCCAGTCAAACAGACCCCACGCCTCAACCAGGGAACCAGACCCCAACTTCTCAACCAGGGAACCAGACCCCCAGTTCTCAACCAGGGAACCAGACCCCCACTTCTCAACGAGGGAACCAGACCCCCACTTCTCAACCAGGGAACCAGACCCCCACTTCTCAACGAGGGAACCAGACCCCCACTTCTCAACCAGGGAACCAGACCCCCACTTCTCAACGAGGGAACCAGACCCCCACTTCTCAACCAGGGAACCAGACCCCCACTTCTCAACCAGGGAACCAGACCCCCACTTCTCAACCAGGGAACCAGACCCCCACTTCTCAACCAGGGAACCAGACCCCCACTTCTCAACGAGGGAACCAGACCCCCACTTCTCAACGAGGGAACCAGACCCCCACTTCTCAACGAGGGAACCAGACCCCCACTTCTCAACGAGGGAACCAGACCCCCACTCCTCAACGAGGGAACCAGACCCCCAGCAGAACCAACGCCCCCCCAAACACACCTAAACCTCTCGACTCCACCCCGGCCACTGTGAGGAGGAGCAAACCCCAAGAAGACTACCTCAGCGCTCTGTTCGCACCGCAGGTAAGAGGGAGGGGTAACGACTACAGATCTTTCTCGTCCACACAGAAGCTTTGGTGGCGCGTGAGGCTCAGGTTTGGGAAGGCTAAATAACTTTTTTTACCTGATGCTATAGATAAGAGATCAACCGAGATCAACTCAGTGAAAGCACCGCCTGCTGACCAATCAGAGCCAGTGTGCGGAGTTTAAATCTATCAAGTCATATTACAGGAGAAAGGAAATACAGAACAACTGCCGTATGCAGAGAAGACGCCGACGTGTCGCATTTATCATTCATATCATCGATCATATAATTCCTTATCTGAGTCAGCTTCTCGAGTCGTATCTGGCCGTGCAACACTTACAGAGTCACATAGCCTACTGTATGCAGAAGTATTATTTACACATTAAGTTGACAAAACACTCAAATGTAATTATGTTAATTATTAAGTCAGATCTCTCGTGTCTTAGATGAGGCAGTGATATCATAAACCTGTTAATGTACGCATTCAACACTACAGCTGTTCTGTATTCACCTGGCAGCTGCAACTATGCTGCTTTTATCCTGGATAAAGTGTTTAAGTCACGGATGTTTAAAGTTTAACTTCTTCATATTTGTCTATTATTATAGTTTCATTTTCATTAATGAAGTATGACGCTGCGCTGTCAGTTCGCTTGTCCATGTTTGTGATTGGTCAAATGTTGCTAGCCCCGCCCCTTGAACGCGCTCTCAGCCGGACAGAGAAACCCTGGGTTGATTTACCGAGTTGATAACCAGCGTCGTAGGACCGCTTAGCGAGATCTCGTTTGTTAGGATTAGATAAGATAACTCAAACATATCCAGGGTCTGTTGAACTGGCTTCGGAGAACAGTTTACTGGTGGCTGCATAGCAGCACTAATGTCAAAGACACAAACATTATACATTATATTTAAATTTTACCAGGATGCAGTGACACAAATATTAAGGCTTAGCCTTCCCTCGCCTACAGTACCCGCAGCCCCTGCACAGAAGCTTTGGTGGCGGTTGCTAGCAGCAGTTAGCATTAAATACGTTGATTTAAGATAAGAAGTACTTTCTTGATCCCAATTTGGGAAATGTTTGCGTTGCAGCGGCATTACAGTAAAAGGCATTAGCAGAAGTTAGCCTTAAATAAGTTGCTTTAATAATACATTGGATTTTGATAGCGCTTTTCCTAATGCTCCAAGACTCTTAACATAAAATCAGAACAGAAACAATACAAAGAAAACAAGAGTTATTTATTCTTGAAGAGTTATTTCTAAGACAACATTCGATATAATGTTATAATGTTGATATGTACTTCTGCAACATGTAAAAAATCCGTTTCGCACGAGAGAGCAGACTGGAGATGTAGCCACTTCAAACTTGGATGAGCACTTGTCTTTTCCAAGAAGTGTCATTTGCCTTTGTACATCTTTCCCCCCGGTCTTTCTCTAGGACGATGCCTCGCAGCACGGCGGTTATTTCCTGGAGGAAGAGAGCCCCGTGCTCCACGCTCCTCCACCTGTGGCCTCGTCCTCCTCCCAGTCCGCCTCTCTGAGGAGCGTCAGGACCAGTTTCTCCCAGTCCCTCACCCCCTCCCAGAGCTCACAGGGGAGACCGGGGCCGTCCCAGGCACCACTCGCCAAGAAGAAAAAGCCTCGGATGGGATTCTGAGTGTGTCCGCCACACACGGAGCGGAGCATTTGGAATACCTGTTGTTCTTCTTCTTCCTTCGATGCATCTGGATTCAGGGTTTGTGAAATGGATGTATTACAGTTGCATTCACTGGGTTTGGACATTAGGACGCACACGGGATCTAATGGATGATGGACTGACTGGAAGAGCAACCATGGCTCTGTCCCTGAAGACGAAGACGACTGTGCTTTGGTAGGAAAACATTACCTTTGTTTTGTGACTGGGCCTTATGGTTAACGAGAGATGTGTGTATGTTTGGGCAAATGACGCTGCTGGGTTCACTTGTATCCTTCCATTAGACACTCACACAGCTGATGTTGTTTCACTTCATTCCATAACACTCCGAGTCACGGAGATGGGATGAAACGATATGGCTGATATGAAACGGAAGGAACGAGGAAAGACATGATAAGCTAACCCGAGGTCGATTAGGGATATGGAAGATGCAGAAGTCTTGAAATAAAAGCTGAGGAACTTTGAAGTAGGAGTAGATGCTACAGAATGTGTGTGTGTGTGTGTGTGTGTGTGTGTGTGTGTGTGTGTGTGTGTGTGTGTGTGTGTGTGTGTGTGTGTGTGTGTGTGTGTGTGTGTGTGTGTGTGTGTGTGTGTGTGTGTGTGTGTGTGTGTGACCTCGTTCTGTTTTTTTTACTTTGTTAATGAAAGTACAACATGCACTGTTAAAACCTTTTGTATGACATTTTTCTACATCTGCTTTAAATAAAACAGAAAGGAATTAGTAGGAAGATGTGGGTTGTTATTGAAAACCAACAGGACATGTTTGAACTTGAGTCAGTGTTATTACAGAGGAAAAAGGACATCATATTGTGAATCTCTCCCACGCCTGACTTTAATTTAAGAATGATCAACCTTAAACTAAATGGATATAATGTTGAAGGTCCCATGTCATGCTTTTCCGGTTATTACCCGTCCCCTTGTGTTATGAAGCTTTCTATGCATGTCAACGGTCTGCAGAATCCAAATGGACCAATCCGTGGAGCCGTTACGTTACGTCCGTGGATTGGCTGTGAGTCGGTGTGTGAGCACACACACAAACTCCCAGCCAGGCTGCGGGTGTGTGTGTTCGGGCTGGGTGTCGCTGTGTCTCGCAGACGGCCACTGGGCTCACAGGGAGGGAGGTGGGGGGGGGGGCAGGAGCTCCAACAAGCCGTTTAGGACAGAGTGAATACTAGGGTTGGGAACCGATAAGAAAATGCCGGGTACCCATACAAAATGCACAATTTCTACTTAATGGTCCCTAAACGCGGTAGACCCTGTATTCCACCGGATCCGTCTGCGCCGCGGCGACCCGGTGGAATACAGGGTAAGGGAGGACTGGCCATCTGTGTGTTCTGGAGAATCACAGAACAGCCGGTCGTCAGCGGGCCGTTGACGGCCGGCTCGGTACGCTGACTGTTAACGCATACCTTAATTTTTTTTAAACGGTATCATGTAAGTTGCGCTGACAGGCGACAGAGGTCCACAGTTGCCCCGCAGCGAGGTTCCCCCCCGCCCTCCCCGAGCGCAGTCACTTCATAACACCAAAGATGGGTCGCGGTAAACGCTCTGAAGTGAGGCTCCACTGCACTAAAAAAGAAATAGACAAGGCACAGTGTAATGCCTGTTAATAGCTTGCCACAGGCATAGCTCGGTTAAAATAAAACACAGCTATTGTGCAATAAAAAAATTATTTGTAAAAATGTCAGTTAAAGCTTAAAAGAATAAAGATATTTTTGTTATCTAAACGTTTGACCTCTTTCTTTTATAATCTAAGAGGGGAATCGATAAGAACCGGAATCGAATATAAATGTATTCTAGTAGACCTCAACAATGGAATTATGATCAGTACAAATGGCCATGTCATGGGACCTTTAATGCCAGTGTGTAACAATTTCACTTTGCATTTATGTAATATTTTGGACAGAATTGATCAAATATCCAAACTTTATATATTATTAACCACCATATTAGCATTTACCCATTGACTAAATCATTGCAGATACATGTTATCTATAGATTTCATCCAAAATAACTTTTTTTAACATTTTCAAAAAGAAAAAGACCGACAACAGATTTAAAAAATAATGTTTTTTTATAAGATTTTAGACCTTCTTTAAAGTACAGTGGACAAAAACAGAATAAATAACGTCATATCTACAAAGAACTATAAACATTTTTTTGTTGTACATCATTTACAGTTTTACATGTTTTTTAAATATTTTTGACAGTCAGCATTATTTTCTTTCCATACAGCATTTTCGCAGAACGCTTTCAAACACCAAACTTTTTTTTTTCTTCTAACCTACATCCTAAAATAATTATATAAATATAAACCAGGGTCATACATGCAAACATCCTTGAACACACACACACACACACACACACACACACACACACACTAACTGTTTTATCTGAACACCCTGTGAACAATTTCAAACGCATCAGATTCCCTCTCAGACACAAATCTCCTGTCCGCTCATTTAATACTCTAAATGAGATTTTAAAAATGTGCAAATGAAACTTTCCCTACAGAAGGTGAGAGCAGACATACGAACAGTCTTATGTCAACAAAACATCACAATGTAATCTTCTAAAGAAATACAAATCTAGTTTAGTTTCCAACCCTGTCATTAAGAAACCGTTATCAGTGCCTTACGTTAGAGCTCTTCATAACTTAAACGTGTAAAGTCACCACTCACAGCCGCTCTCAGCTTCTGTATAACTCTTATATTAAATAAATACGTTTTGGCAACGACGTGAACTGACGCCTGAGGTTGAGATGTTTTTATCAGCACCTTAGAGACCGAACTTTCAATCTAACAACGCTCCTGGAATGTGACATCTCAACTCGACTACAAACTACAAATCTAGCAGGAAGAGTCCGGACTGCTCAGTAGTTGTGCGATTCTCCACCGGTACCGGAGCTTTCTGACAATAAATTAAAGACTACAGGTGGAGAATTTGAAGGTTTTTTTTGGGGGGGAGGCAGCGAGGCGTCAGGCGTGGAGGTGTTGGCGGCGGAGGTGCAGAGGGAAGTAAGGACCCTCGGCGTCGCTGCCCAGAGAACTGCTGAGCGACTACTCCCCTGAACTCATCACGTCCTCACAAGAGTCCTCACTGTGGACACAAAGGGGTGTACTGTCAGCATACAGAGGGTTACACACAATCAGCTCAATGTTTTAGATGTGGTGCAAACAACCAACATGTCGTCTCAGTGGATGATTATGAACTAGTAGAGTCAATGAAGAACAGTTTGAATTCTGTTTCTGTCATACATACGTTAACCATGAATACTGAATAGTAGTAACCAACGAGTATTCAAATCATTTAAGTCGTTCAACAAACCAATGGTTTTTCTTGTAGGTCTTTTTTGTACATTTAGAAAACTCCTGGCTGTTAATCAGAGTAAGTGAAATAAGGAGATCTAAGATGTGCTGGGTCATAATCTCTGGGGTTTGAAGGACTACATGTAGATACAACTTTTAAATAAATACAATACGATTTGAGGAAATAAGGATTAAGCTCACTTTCCCTTCTGGGTGTTTTAAAATAATTCCTCAGACGGGGATTTCACGATGATACGGGTAAAGTAACATTTCCTCCTTTTTAAAGCAGAACTAGTTCTCATCGTCTGACCTCATCGTCTGACAGCAGAAATGTGACGCTGCTGAAAGTTCAGGCATGGAGTAAAACGTGAAGAACGAGGGTTTAAAACCAACATGTGATGATAAGTAGGTTTGTGTTAGTCATCAGTCAGCTGGGGAATGTTTTGGTTCCTTCTTTTTTCCCTGAGCTCAGACAGAAATTCCATTTAACTTAAGGCGAGGCCTCTTTAGACGTCATGGAAACGTCTGTCAGTGGGACGTGACCAGTGCCTCGCAGACATGATCCCATCGTGTGTGTCAACACTTCAGAAACGTGTGTGTTGCTGCGTGCCTAAGTAACAGCACACTTGCACAACACTTTTATAATGTCCCTCTCTAACTTTAAAAGCACTCGTTTCATATGCGTGACTCTTACTATAGTGTTTAAAGGAAACAGAAGTGCTTCTCCAGTAGGAACTGTATTTCTGGTAGAACAACTGGATCACTAAACATGTTGGGTCACTTCCCAGTGTGTGTGAGTCATAGCTGAACAAACATCTGGCGTGTGTCTGGTGAGACAAACAAGGTGTGTCTTTCACTTTGATTTTCATCAGCTGTCATCACATGATGTCACTGTGACATCTTCATCACAATGAAACTGAAAACAACCTAATCCATTTGATCTTATCATTTAATTTGGCTGTGTAATTCTTATTTGAGTTCGAGGGTCTAAAGGTATCCTGCTCAGGTGTTTTTAAGGCTGTGTTAGTTTCCTTGGTCAGGTGTGTTTAAGGTGTTATGGCGCTTTTCCACTGCAGGGCCTCGCTCGGCTTAGTACGGTATAGTTAGGCCAGGCTCACTTTATGCTGCGTTCCCATTACAGTTTAGGAACTGGGGCAGTAACTATAGTAACGCAGTATAGGCGGAGCCGTGACGTCGTCTTCAATGCGAAACACAAAACCGCCGTTAGCTGTTAGCCCTCAGAGCTCACAGCTCCTCATATCTGTTCAGAAACTAGACACAAGTTAAACAAGTACAAACCACAGACTGCCTGTGTCATGGAGAATACAGTCGCTGGTTTATTTATGTCTGTAGGTCGTTGTTGTGAGTGTGGACGGTCGGAGCATATACTGCGTTAGCTTAGCCAAGCTCCATTTAGCATTTTAAAAGGTTTTCCGCCTGCCGTCTGTCTGCAGACTTGTCAAAGCATTAATTCATGGTTTTTACTAACCGGTATCAGTTTGTTGTTACTTCGGCATCATTTTGAAACGTGTATTACAATTAAATCACGGTCAAATATGTTCAATGTGTTGTAGTTGTAGCCCCCTTGCCAGCGAGTCTCTCTCTAGTTTAGCATACTCAGCCCGGTTGTTGGCCCGGAAAGAACCTGGATTTCGGAGGGCCAGAAAAACTGTGAAAAAGTACCCGTTAGCCGGAACTAGGCCTAGTGGAAACGCAACCAAATACGGACCGGGTTTGGCACGGCACGCTTTAAACCGCGCTGCAGTGGAAATGCGCCATTAGTGTCAGTTTCTCTGTAGGGTGTGTTTTGGGCTCTGACAGTGACAGTTTCTGCTGAGGTGTGTTTGAGGCTCTGACAGTAACTGCTGAGGTGTGTTTGAGGCTCTGACAGTAACTGCTGAGGTGTGTTTGAGGCTCTGACAGTAACTGCTGAGGTGTGTTTGAGGCTCTGACAGTAACTGCTGAGGTGTGTTTGAGGCTCTGACAGTAACTGCTGAGGTGTGTTTGAGGCTCTGACAGTAACTGCTGAGGTGTGTTTGAGGCTCTGACAGTAACTGCTGAGGTGTGTTTGAGGCTCTGACAGTTTCTGCTGAGGTGTGTTTGAGGCTCTGACAGTAACTGCTGAGGTGCGTTTGAGGCTCTGACAGTTTCTGCTGAGGTGTGTTTGAGGCTCTGACAGTAACTGCTGAGGTGTGTTTGAGGCTCTGACAGTGACAGTAACTGCTGAGGTGTGTTTGAGGCTCTGACAGTAACTGCTGAGGTGTGTTTGAGGCTCTGACAGTGACAGTAACTGCTGAGGTGTGTTTGAGGCTCTGACAGTAACTGCTGAGGTGTGTTTGAGGCTCTGACAGTGACAGTAACTGCTGAGGTGTGTTTGAGGCTCTGACAGTTTCTGCTCAGGTGCGTTTGGGGCGCTCACC